TTGAACGCTTCTAGGATAAACTGGTAAAGAATGGAATAGTGATTTAAGCCGCAGAAGCAAGCTATTGTCCATGCACGGAGACACACACATACACAGGGGGATGGAGTAAAACCGACTATTTCCAGGTTGTATAGAAGACATCGGACGCACCATGTCATATAAGATTAATTCATTTCGTATTTTTTCCATTGATCATAACGAATTATCTACGTTTATTTTTAAAATTCAGAGTAAACTAAAAAAATATATATGCACATTCGTCTCAGCCACATTCCTCAAGATTTGTTTTCGTTTTTTTTATCATGGCATAGAAGAAGAAAAAGGATAAAAAAAGTAAATAACTAAGAGACAAATAAGAAGAATTGGAAGATCAGGTCACATTAGGCCATCGGGAATAATTGGGGAGGGATTACAGGATACAAAGAGCCTAAAAAATAAAAGGATGTACGGGGAAACAGAGAGACTAATACCCTATATCTTAACTCTTTAAGACCACATGAGACAGGAAGACAAATATGCTATGACTTATCCCTTTGGTATAAGGAAATGGCGTAGTTGAGATAATGGTGAATCTAAGGGTAAGCAAATACTGGAATTTATAAGTATTGAAGGGAGTAAGAAAAGAGGAAGAGAGGAAAATAATGGCAGACGAAAATACAGACCTATAACTCCTGTTTCGAGATACGGTTTTTGGACGAAAAATACAGTGGGTTCCTTTTGGCGAAATACATGCCTGATCATTCTCAACATGGAGTCCCGTACGCAATAGCCTTCAGCATTCAGCAAGTAAAAACAAAAGAAGAGGGAAAAAAAAGAGATAGTATACCTACATCCCACTGTGTCTGAAGATGTTGCCAGCTGGAATAGCAAACGAAGGCTTCCTCCAAGCAAGAAAATCTCTGCTTTTGGCATCTTATTCCACCTCGAATCAGCTGGAAGGAAAAGCGACTCTTAGAGCCTCGTAAAAAACGCTGGAGATTCCGAAGGCGTGTGAATAGGAGTGTCCTTCGAAAGAGAGACACGGATATACAGGTAGATCAGAGAGGCATCGGCAGGAATTCATGGGTAAAGGTTTTCTTCAGTATATATATGTGTGTGTGTGTGTGTGTGTGATTGTGTGTGTGTGTGTGTGTGTGTGTGTGTGTGTGTGTGTGTGTGTGTGTGTGTTTGTGTGTGTGTGTGTGTGTGTGTGTGTATGTGTGTGTGTGTGTGTGTGTGTGTGCGTGTGTGTGTGTGTGTGTGTGTATGTGTGACCATACTGTGCGATAAAGAATGCTATTATTAGATAGGTGCCATAAAAGTGGACGCATATGAGGAAATCTGTACAAAACATTACATGCACACTTTAATGTTTTTAGGGATCTCGAGCGCCGCCTATTTCGACACAACAACACCGGCAGAGAGACCCGGGGTGCATGGACGGGTGCAGACACAGGCGTGAACAAGCGTGGGTATGTGCACGATCAAGCATAGTGCACGTAACAGAGTAGGCGCACGTTACGTACGTGAGTCGGAGTGAGAGCACGTGCCGTGTGTGTGTGTGTGTGTGTGTGTGTATGTGTGTGTGTGTGTGTGTGTGTGTGTGTGTGTGTGTGTGTGTGTGTGTGTGTGTGTGTGTGTGTGTGTGTGTGTGTGTGTGTGTGTGTGTGTGTGTGTGTGTGTGTGTGTAAAGCAGAAATGGCAAGACCAGATACAAAAGTTAAATGTAATTGGAAGACAGGAAGGAAGAGTGACGTACAAAGAAACAACGGAAGGTAAAATGGGAGACAAGAGAAAACAAACTTTTGTCTGCCTTCTCCTTTATATCGTTTCTACTTTTAGAATGAAGTCTCTCTACTTGATATACAAAGTGAATCGATTATGATGGACCCATATTTACCTATCTATTTATTAAAACTCACACCTTCTGTGCACAAAGGGACACGCATTGAAATGCGCTAACACACGCGCACGCGCGCTTACAGTACGTGTCAAACAATCATGTACACCTTGCCCTTCACCCTCCCTTTTTCTCCTCCCTCCCTTCCATCCCACATCCACTCCTCCTCTTCCATCCTGTCCCCTCCTCTCCTCTCCTCTCCCCTCCCCTCTCCTCCCCTCCCCTCCCCTCCCCTCCCCTCCCTTCCCTTCTCCTCCCCTCCCCTCCCCTCTCCTCTCCTCCCCTCCCCTCCTCTCCCTTCTCATCTCTCAAGACACTATTAGGTTCATAAGAGAGAGAAACACAAGCATCCCCGTGGGTGGCAGCAGCATCCTCATCATGACGTCACTTCCCGCACCCTCATGGCACCGAAGGAAGGGAAGGGATGAAAGGGAACGGGGAAGGGAAAAGGGAAGGAGGGAAAAGGGAACGGGGGAAGGAATGGAAAGGTGGGAAAGGAAAAGGGAAGGAGGAAAAAGGGAACTGAGAAAGGAATGGGAAGGAGGGTAAGGGAACGTGGGAAGGAGGGAAAGGAAACGGGGAAAGGAAAAGGGGAAGTGGGAAGGAGGACAAGGGAACGGGGGAAGGAGGGAAAGGGAACGGGGAAGGGAAAAGGGAAAAGGGAAGGAGGGAAAGGAGGATGGGGAGGAGAAGGAGGAGGAGGTGAATGATGATGAGGTGGTAGTTGAGGTAGAGATGGAGGAGGGGGGGTTCGTTAAGGTCGACCTCGGAGAGTGTTGGATGGTGAAATGGGGCGAAGGGATTTATTGTTAAAATTCTCGTTTTGAAACTTTATTTTCTTCCAGTACTTGCTGGATTTAATTTGCTTTTCTCTCTTTTTTTCATCTCTCTGGTCTGACGTCTTTTATTACTATTTTTCTTTTTACATTCTTATTTAATCCTTTCTCTCACTTTTTGACGGCTTTGTTAATTTGCTTGTGTGGTTATCCTTACTTCTTTTGAATTTTCTCGGGCGCGCGCGTATACACACACATACACACATACACGCACACGCACGTGAAAATGCGAACGAAACAAGGAGAAATGAATTCACAAAGATGGAGGAGGAAGGGAAGAAAAAAAACAAAATAGAAAGAGTAGTGAGAAGATAAACAGTAGCAAGAGCTCTCGGGCGTCCAACAAGGGGCTTCTCTTAATAAAAGAGTAGACAGAAAGAGAGATGAAGAAGAAGAAAGAGGAGAGAAGAGGAGGAGTAGAGAAGAAGAGAAGAAACACAAGCGCCACCACAAAGACTTACTCTTTAAGTGAACGCCTTGTTTGCAGCGAGACCACAGATACCCCTCGGTGTGAGCAGGAGTGAATGGGATGCCTCATGCTTTCGAGGGGAAAAGGGGTGGGGGTGGGGGGGGGGAGGGAAGGGAGGAAGCTGGAACGAAGGAAGAGGAGGAGGGGGAAGGGGGAGGGAGGGAGGGGGGAGGTCATGCAACGCGTGCATGGCCTCTATTTTGCATAGGTCTCTCTTGGGGTGCAAAGCAGATGTTGCGGGTTGAAGATACAAATGACACCCTGGGACACGCATGCAGTATTTGGGGGTGTGGGTTGGGAGGGGGGGGGAGGGGGGGTAAGGGGGATATTTCATGGGGGATTTAATTCTTGCTTTAAAGATTTAGGGCTGTAAGATAAGAAAACATGGGCCTAAGTTTTTTTTTTCTCAAAGGTGGTAGGTAGATAGTACTGTGTCATTATTAGTTATTTTTATTATCGTTGTTATTATTTATTATCATTATTATCATTATCTTTATCATTATCATTATCATTATCATTATCATTATCATTATCGTTGTTGTTGTTGTTGTTGTTGTTGTTGTTGTTGTTGTTGTTGTTGTTGTTGTTGTTGTTGTTGTTGTTGTTGTTATTATTATTATTATCGTTAACATAATTATTGTTATTATTGCTATTATTATCATTATTACTATGATGATTATTATTATGCTCAGCATTCCCTTCTCACTGATGGTATAGATTATTATGATTGTGGCGATCATAAGAATACTTTTCATTGTTTTTATCATGAAATTAAACGTGGAAATATCAGCAGTGAAGATAATGCTAATGCTAAAAATGGATTTGCATACACATCACTGACTGACTGACTCACTCACTCACTCACTCACTCACTCACTCACTCACTCACTCACTCACTCACTCACTCACTCACTCACTCACTCACTCACTCACTCACTCACTCACTCTCTCACACACACACACACACACACACACACTCACACACTCACACACTCACACACTCACACATACACTCTCACACACTCACACATACACGCACGCACACACACACACATTAGGGGAAAGAGGAATAAGGGAAAGAGGAATAAGAGAGACGGGAATAAGAGAGAAGGGAATAAGGGAAAGGGGAATAAGGGAGAGAAGAATAAGAGATGAGGGAATAAGGGAAAGAGGAATAAGGGAGAGAAGAATAAGAGAGAAGGGAATAAGAGAGAGGGAATAAGGAAAAGGAATAAGAGAGAGGGAATAAGGGAAAGAGGAATAAGAGAGAGGGAATAAGGGAAAGAGGAATAAGAGAGAGGGAATAAGGGAAAGAGGAATAAGAGAGAGGGAATAAGGGAAAGAGGAATAAGAGAGAAGGGAATAAGGGAAAGAGGAATAAGGAAGAGGGAATAAGGGAAAGAGGAATAAGAGAGAGGGAATAAGGGAATAGGGAGAGAAAATAAGAGAGAGGGAATAAGGAAAGAGGAATAAGAGGGAGGGGAATAAGTGAGACGGGAATAAGAGAGAGGGAATAAGGGAAAAAGGAATAAGAGAGAGGGAATAAGGGAAAGAGGAATAAGAGAGAGGGAATAAGGGAAAGAGGAATAAGAGAGAGGGAATAAGGGAAAGAGGAATAAGAGAGAGGGAATAAGGGAAAGAGGAATAAGAGAGACGGGAATAAGGAAAAGAGGAATAAGAGAGACGGAATAAGGGAAAAAGGAATAAGAGAGACGGGAATAAGAGAGAGGGGAATAAGGGAGAGAAGAATAAGAGAAAGGGGAATAGGGGAAAGGGGAATAAGGGAGAGAAGAATAAGAGAGAGGGAATAAGGGAA